CAACAAAAGAACAATAGCATGTAGTTCAGGGAATCTACACTAATAAAGAAAAAGATGCAAATTGACCATACCTTTGTAACACCCACCAGCCCACCAGGAGTGATATGAAAATTAACTCAATAAAGATGGCATGTTAATTTGCATACACAGATGTCAAGCAGCCAGGGGCAGGATGTTCTGCACTGCCCCAGCCACTCTGGGCCTCTGGACAACTTGCAAAGGCAGAAAGGCAGCTCAGAGAGAAGGCAAAAAGGCAGCTCCGGGCCGGAGTAAACGCCATGCACAAGCCTTTGTGCATCAGGCCTCTAGTTTAGTAATAATTACTATATGTTGGTGTTTAACTAATGAAGTTAACAAATGATGTTAGTTGCTCTCCCATTTGGTTGGCTATGAGACATAAATCTGTTATACTTTCTTTCATTATTTTTGAACAGTTATTTTTAATGACATCATTATTTCTACTTGATATATAAAATGTGTCAGGGAAATACATGATTACTAACAGGCCCTAAAATTACTTAGGCTACTAGAATTAAAGTGCTACTCAATATAACTTTTTGGATTCATCCACATAGTATTTTAAGATTAGTTGAAGCAGGAACAAGTTGGGCCCAGTAAAATACAATATAAAACATTGTAAGCCCTTGATCATTCTTATTTTAGTTCATTCAGGCAGCTTATAAACAACAGAACTTTATTTCATATAGAGGCCCGGTGCATGAAGTCATGCATGGGTGGGGTCTGGCCAGCCACCCTGATTGGGGCTGATTAGGCTGGCCCAGAGAGAAGGGATGAGGAAGGTTGGCCAGCTGGTCCTACCCTTAATCAGAGTGACTGGCTGGACCCCACCCATGCAAGAATTTGTGTACCCAGCCTCTAGTATATAATAATAGGCCTTGAACAAAGGAATTAAACATAGAACTAGATGGTAATCTTACTGTTAATGTAGTGTAAGTTAAATACTATGCTGTTTTTCAGTTGTACTTTATTTTAAAGTTAATAATGTAAGTACACATAGATAGTAATAATAAGAAGAAGAATAGCACTGGATTAAAATATCTTATTTCCTCCATTCTTCCTCTTATAAAGATAAAAATCTCCTGAGAAAACCATGTTATTGTTTATAATTATTTAAAGTCCAGGAGATATACAAAAGCACTGAACTTACATAAGTCAAAGGATTGTCGATTCTGAAGACATTAAAAAATTTTTTTTAATTTTGTAAAATTTAGAATCCCAAATTATAGCTGATGGAGATAATTTTAGAAGTATTTTGATTGATAAAACATTCCTTTAAGCAAATGTAGTTGCCACCTCTGTGTTCTCAGCACCATGTCCATTTCTCTGCAGTGCTGCGAAGCACACAGCAGTCATTTCTTACTGACCTCCAAAGACTCAGACCCCAAGCAGGGCATGGCATCCTTGCATTCTCAGAACCTGCTCTAGTGCACTTCTCACAGAGGGGCGAGGCTGTAAAAATTGTGAGTTTTAAACATGTCAGGTTAGATTAGGGCTAAATTTTAAATGTATAAAGTTAAGTTAGCCTGAAGAAAAGAAAATAGTGAAGAAATACAGTTATTTAGTTGCAACATTATACTCCAGTCATGGCCTATGTAAAAGTGTTCTGAAAACCTTTGAAATGTTAGATGCATAGAACTTGAAGGAATTTCCAAAGTCATCTATCAAAACCTATTTTTATACTCTGTATGATCTTATACAAATAGATGAATAATTTGTGTAATGTTGGAGTGGGGGAAGAATGAAAGTTCAGAAGAAAGGAGCTTTTTTTATTTCTAATATCTGAGAAACTAGGTCTTTGTGAATATTTCTGCAGATTTTTTTTTTAATCTCTCTTGATACAGTCACAGAATGAGAGGTGCTGAAGACAGAGTAGGATGTTAATTTGACTCTTTTAAATCCAGTCAGATGTCTTTTGTATAGAAAACCCTTTCGACAATGGAAACGAATATTCATAATTTGGGGTTTATTATGTATCTGCATCCATTTAGACCATTTTAATCCTTTCTGAAAACCGTCTTATTGCCTGGAAAAATAAAGGAACATAAATATTTAGGAAAAGCCTTTTGTTATTTTTTACTAGTTAAAAAAAATCTTAATAAAATAAATAAATCATGCTTAGCATAGCATAATTCTTAGAAAATACAGTTTGGCAAAAAAGAATGAAATAAATACCCAAGTTTGCTATCCTGTATAACTGTTGCTTACATCAGTATATATGCTTCTGTGCATTCTTTCTCACTCAGAGCTTAAAGTGAAATTGTGGCTAATATGTGTCTGGCAAATACAAAAACATAGGGAGTGAAAAAAATGCCACTAAATAGTTAAAGTCAGCTTTACTTTCTATTCATAGAAGCAGAAATCAATGAAATGTTAAAAGGACAATTTTGTACAGCAAATAAGACCATGGAACATGATTTTCATGTGTTGATTTATTCATCCCCGACCCATCTACTAATGTTAAGCCTTCCAAATTCTAAACCATAGGTCCCTTTTATATCTTTAATGTTTCTCTTGTTCTCTAAACTATCTGTGAATATTTGAGAATAAAATTAATTTTATTTTTTTAAAAAATGTTTATTGATTTCAGAGAGGAAGGAAGAGTGAGAGAGAGATAGTTCCCTTTGATCTTTTTCAAAGTTGTTTTGGCTATTCTAGGTTTTTCGTTAGATTTTTAGAATTTGGTGATTTCTCAAAAAATAACCTCCTGGAATATTCAGTGGGATTACATTGAATATGTGGAACCTTTGGAGAGAATTGACATCTTAACAATATTGACTATTCCAACCATGAACACAATATATCTTTTTATATTTAGGTTCTTCAGTTTTTCTCAGTAGCATTCTGTAGTTTTCAGTGTGCATATCTTTCACCTGTTTCATCAGATATTTCCCAAAATATGTCACATTTTTATGCCATTAATGGCATTTAAAAAGAATTCTATTTCTTTGCTTCTTGTATGTGGAAATACAATTAATTTTTGTACATTTCTCATGTATATTGAAATCTTGCTAAAGTCAATTATTAGTTCCAGTGACTTATTTTTAAGGTTCCATTCAGATTTTTTACACAAATGTGGGGCCAAAACCTGAGAATGAATACCTTCTTCAGTTTTCCTCCTTACATTTCTCACTTGTCTCAGCATAGTCTTATATCTGCATAGACAATCGTATCTATAAGGAAAGAAAGCTTTGTTCCCTCTGTGTGTTGCCCATTTTTTTTATAGTTTCAAGCAGGAGGGCATATCTGGTCCTTTTGTTCTATTTTTTGCCAGGGGTGAAAAAAATTATTTACGTGTCATTTGCTTTTTAATTTTGATTACTGAGTTTTTTATTTTATGTTAATGAAAACTCTTTAAATGTTCAGGTAACAAAACTTGTCCATCTTATATAATAAAGAGGTAATATGCAAATTGACCATCACACCTTTGCACAAGATGGCTGTCCCCATGTAATTACAACATGGCTGTCCCCATGTGGTCACAAGATGGCTGGCAGGGGAGGGCAGTTAGGGGCAACCAGGCTGGCAGGGAAGGGCAGTTGGGGAAGGACCAGGCCTGCAGGGGAGGGCAGTTGGGGGCAATCAGGCCAGCAGGGGAGCAGTTAGGTGTCAATCAAGCTGGCAAGGGAATGGTTAGGGGGTAATCAGGCTGGCAGGCAGAAGTGGTTAGGGGCAATCAGCCAGGCAGGTAGGAGAGCGGTTGGGAGCCAGCAGTCCTAGATTGTGAGAGGGATGTCTGACTGCCCATTTGTTATAAAACCACTAACTTCAGTATACAAATTGACTAAACAGGCAGTTGGACATCCCTCGAGGGGTCCCAGATTGGAGAGGGTGCAGGCTGGGCTGAGGGACACCACCCCTGGTCCCCTCGTGCACGAATTTCGTGCACCGGGCCTCTTGTATTTAATAATAGAAGAATGCACAAATAAATTATACTGCTTCATTAGATATGATACTGTAAAGCTTTTAAAAATGATAATTACAGGCTTTGGCTGGATAGTTCAGTTGGTTAGGGCATTGTCCTAATACCCCAAGGTTGTGGGTTCTATTCGTGGTCAGGGCACACATACAAGACTTAACTAGTAAATGCATAAATAAGTAGGACAACAAATCAATCTTTCTCTCTCTCTTCCCCCACCTTTCTCTCTCTTAAAAAAGTCAGTAAAGTAAATAAATGAAAATGGTAATTACATTGTTGTACAATAGAAATATGAAAGATATTTTCATTTAAATTATTAAAATGCTAAATTACATTTACACCATAATATCTTGCATAAAATGTATATTAGAATTAGGAGTGATGGAGAAATAGTTTTCACCATTTTGCTTTGGGGAGATAGATTTGTGAAATTTTTTTTTTTTTTTTTGCATTTTATTTAATTCTGTTATAGTATGCCTTTTTGTTGTGCTTATTAATCCTTATGCAAGGATATTTTCTGTATTGATTTTTAGAGACAATGGAAGGGAAGGGTGAGACAGAAAGAGAGAAATGTGAGAGAGACACATCCATTGGTTGCCTTCCAATATGCTCTGGGGCCAGGGATTGAGCCTGCAGTCGAAGTTTGTGCCCTTGACCAGAATTGAACCCACAACCCTTCAGTTCACATACTGACACTCTATCCACTTTGCCAAACCAGCTAGGATGCTTTTGATCTTGTGTATCATTTTTTTCTATACATTTATATCGATATTTCAAATTAGGCTTTCATGCAATTGTTATATTTACCAGACCAAGATAATGCATGGCTTTCAAGGCTTGATTATAATACTGCCTGGCTGGAAATAATCTGAAATTTCTTCTTTATGGTTTATAGCATTTAATAATTTTACATTTTGCCAGTCATGTTGTCTTATTGCCCAGTATTTGAAATGTATTGTTCAATTTCTTATTTATTTAATGCTACAGTTACTAGTAGGTGGCTTAATTATTTCTTTACACTCTTGCTATTATGATTTGAACTAATATAGATTCATTTTTCTAGTTGCCCAGCAGGAGGCTGACACATTCAACCACTACAATGGAACACCTCCATTCCCCGGAATACACCAAAGTCAAGAAGCTTTATGTTCTAACATGCCTCAACAAGGCTCTCTTCAGATTGAGGACTCTGTCCACACAAAAGATTCTTCCATGAAGATGCAGCAAGTGATACAAAGACTCAATTCTGTCACAGTATGTTTATTTTATGCAGTTGAGAAGTTGGAATTTTTAAAACTATTTCTATCCTGTTTTGCATTGCCATTTCAATAAATATTAATTGAATTAAGTAAGTTAGTGTACTTAAAACTAGGCTTTTTTATAGTTTTTTTTTTTTCTCTAGTACTTGTTATAAAATCACTAACTTCAATAAACAGACTGAACTTAGGATAATCTATCATGTTTTCCTGACTTGATATTTCTGTAAAGATCAGCTTAGGATGTGTTTGTTTATTTAAGAATATCAGTGTGTGGCCCTGGCTTGTGTGGCCCAGTTGGTTGGAGCATCATCCCATGTACCAAAATGTCCTTGATTCAATTCCTGGTCAGGGGACATACCCAGGCTGCAGGTTTGGTTCCCAGTAAGGGGGCATGTGGGAGGCAACCAATTGAGGTCTCCTCACATTGATGTTTCTCTTTCTCTCTCTCTCTCTCTCTCTCTCTCTCTCTCTCTCTCTCTCTCTCTCTTCTCCCCCCCTCTTCTTCCCTCTCTAAAAGTCAATCTGTGTGTATATGTATATATATAGGTATATCACACACACACACCAAACACTAATCTGGGAAAATCTATATATATAAAAGCCTAAGTGACTGTTATGACCAGCCAACGGAACAACTGGCAGGTGCTCAATGCAGGAGCTGTCCTCTAGTGGTCATTGCACTCTCACAGCCAACTTCCTGTAGCCAGCCAACCTCCCTCAGCTTCCCTCCAGTCTGCCAGCCCCTATTGGTTCAGTTTTGTAACCTTGAGGCATTTACAGGACCAGAGTTTGGTTTGCTTATGGAGACTGTCATAGCATTAGCGTTGTTTCAGTGTAAGAAATAAGGTGGAGCTCCAAAATTCAGGGGTCCTGGTAGAACACAAAGCACACTCGGGAGCCAGGCAGCAAGGCAGATTTCTTTACTCCTGCAGGAGGGTGCGCAGCACATGGTCACACACTGAACAGGTGGTCCGGTCCACTGCCCTTTTTATTCCTGACTCACGTGACCTGTCCCTCACTCTTAATTGGAGCTCAGGCACGCAGTTTTTCTCGATTGGCTAATTCAAAGGGAGGTTTAGTCTTTGCCATTTCAAGATGGTGGCCCCCAGGGGAGCTGCAGGTCATGGGGCCAACATGGTGGCTGCCAAGTTATGCAGTCCAAAATGGCGGCTTCCAAAACTATTCTTTGACAAAAAGATTACCTGTTTATTCTCACACTCAGTCTAAGGCATTCTTGTTTAATTAATTTTAACATTGGTAAAAATGAAGATGCAGGTCATAGATTTGGGATATATTTTGGAAGTAGATTTGATAGCATTGTAATAATCAGGTTACTATTTAACAGGAAAGGATTAAAGGGAAAGACTAGTTAATATAGGCATGCCACTTACACAGCTTTGCCAAAAAGCTGCATTTAGCACTCCAAGTCTGCTGTCATTGACAGAGGGGGGAGAGGCAGGACAAAGCTAGTCAGGGTGCATGCCCAGTGAGGTGTGAGCTACAGGGAGGTGCCTGCTCCTCAGTCAGCCTGGCAGTGAGCGGGGGCCAGAGCAGGGCGACCACTGCCAGCATGCAGAACCTGACATTTAAACTGCTTGACGCAGAAGCAGGTCTCCTCTCTCTTCTCCCCTCTACCCCTCTGGCCTGTAACCCTGGGGCTCCCTGGCTCCTGAGGCAGGGCTGTGCCCGGCTCCCATGTGGCTCCTGGCCATGTGCCACTCCACAAAATGGACTTATTTCAAGCAACGGTGGAAATCAAGCAGCACCTGCAGGGAGGGGGACATGTTTGTGACCCTACGTATATATATAAAATCTATATATATAAGCATATATATATATATAGATATAGATATAGATATAGATATAGATATAGATATATAGATATATATAGATATATATGGGTAGTATAAGCATCTTTTCTGTTAAAATGTAAAACTAATTTGAAGTTTCTTTGCAGCTTGAAACTTCAGAAACTACTTCAGGTAAATATCACCTAAAGCAGCTACAGTGATTCCTCTTGTCAGTGAAGGGGAGCAAAGTTTGCCACCCAGAATGTGCCTTCTGGGCTATTGATGTTAAGCTAATTATTAAGAAACAAAAAATGAAGGAAAACCCTGGGACCCTCCCCCTTTCTTGCAGAAGGAGCACCACAGGGTTGTCACCCGCCTCCCAGCCCCGCCATGGTTTCTGGTTTGTTTCTGGGATGTTTGCCGGGTCTTTTCTGCTCCTGTGAGTTTCCCTCCCATCTCCCAGCTGCCTTCTCCTTGGTCCATGAGGCCCCAGAACGCGTTTGCTGCCCAGTGCCTCTGGGTCCATTCTCAGGGCAGCCCGTGCAGTGGGCACTTGTCTCCTGTTATTTCCATTATTAGCCAGTTAGGAGGATTTAGAATGTGGGACGAAAATTACCTTGTGAGTCCCCACATAAGTATATATGAAATGAAATATCTCTCCCAAATGTTTTTAAATTTAATCACTACTTTTTTAACACGAAAATGTTTCCCCTCCTAGAGAATTAGTATTTGCATGTTTTGTGCAAAGGTGCTTGTGCCCTGAAAGAGGAGGCAAAACAGTTTTGTAATGAACTTGGCAAAAGTTCAGGTGATCACTTTCCCCTTTTTCTCTATCGGGAATTTGATTAAATGTGTATGCTTTTAGTTTCCCCAGCATGGAGGCCGTAAACTGACGCTGGCAGAGTGTGGTTTTGAATGAAGCAAGCAGAAAAGTGCGTTGTGAAAAGAGGGGAGATCGGTGTAGGGTAGACTATCTTAGCCAATCCTCCTGTTGTTGTAAAATATTAAGCAATTCTTTTCCACAGCATGTATTTCAGAAATAGAGATTGCTTCACTCTTTTTAATGGTTATTATGACTTTTCTTCCTCTAAATGAAGTAGTGAATATATGTAGGCCAACTTTGAAAATACTTTGAGCTCTAATTTCAAATCACTATAATATTTAGTTATTTCAGACCTTAAAAGTGAATTATCTGCTGGATGTTGCTACTCATCCTGAACATTTGATAGTCTCTAAAGAAATGTGTCAAGAGAGAGCAGAATTAGCAAAAACAAAACAAAACAAAACAAACAACATGCTTTAGGAAGAACACATAATTATGGATTATAGTTGTTTTTTTGTTTTTTTTGAACAGCATTTTATTTAAAAAGTGTGACAAGTCTTTCTGTTTGAGTGGAAGTATTGTATTTAAATGTATCCTATTCTAGGCTTCCTGGTGTTCTTTAACTTTAGCACAAATAAACTTCTGAAGAGGAAGATTGAAGCGTGAGTGTGTGTGTGCGTGTGTGTGTGTGTCCCCAGAATATACCTGTTCTTTTGCACCAGATTTCAAAATGCATTGTTTGCCATGTAGGATAAAAATTTTCAAGAACACAGAAGTAAAACTGAAAAATGATTCTAAAAAGAGAAGTGGACTAAAGAATTAAATGATAAATATGTCATTTTGTTTATAGTAGTTTAATTTAAAAGTATAGCTCTCTGAAAACTTTACTGCATCATCATACTGCATTACAGGTGTCTCATTCCTCTTCTAGTGATGTTAATAACTAATATTTATGTGGCACATGCATAGCACTGTATGGTTTCCCTTTGCCACCATACTCTATTCAATCCATTGCTTTTATTTTCTTTTTTAAGTGTTTTATTGATTTTTAAAGAGAAAGGAATGGAGAGAGAGAAAGAAGCATCAGTTGTCTGCCTCCTGCACACCAACCGCCGAGGATCAAGCTGGAACCCTGGTATGTGCCCTGACCAGGAATCAAAACTGGCAGCCTTTTGGTAAATGGGACGACACCCACCAACTGAGCCACACCTCCAGGACTAATCTACTTCTTCTAACCTAGTGCTCTATGGTTAGCATATGTGACTAGCACTCTATCCAGTTCATCTTTATTTCTCACACAGCACATTCCCATTGAAGCATACATACTACTTTTATTATCTCCATTTAAAGATGGAAAACAAACCTAAAAAATGTTAGATGATTTCATTGTTATCTTAGGTATGATATTAGTATAAATAGTCAACATTAACTTTGATCAGTGTTTGATAATGGCTGTCATGGCTCAGTGGTTGAGCATCGATCTAGGAACCAGGAGGTCAAGGTTTGATTCCCCGTCAGGTCAGCGCACATGCCCAGGTTGCAGTCTCGATCCCCAGTAGGGGGTGTGCAGGAGGAAGCTGATAGATCCATTTTGACTCTCTCTTATCATTGATGTTTATATATCTCTCTCCCTCTTCTTTCCTCTCTGAAATAAATAAAAATATAATTTTCAATGGCTCATAAAATTTTTATTTTTTTCATATTTATTTATTTATTTTTTAGAGATGGAGAGAAAGGGGTGAGGGAGGGAGGAAGAGGGAAAGGAGGAGAAGGAGGAAGAGGGAAAGGAGGAGGAGGAGGAGGAGGAGGACGAGGACGAGGACGAGGACGAGGAGGAGGAGGAAAGCATCAGTGTGTTGTTCCACTTATTTATGCATTCATTGTTGCTGCTTGTAATATGTGCTGTGACCGGGAATCAAACCCGAAACCCTTTGGTGTATGGGATGACACTGCACCTGCCCAGGGCTTAGAGAACGTTTAAAGATGGGTAATTGTTTAGCACTGATGTGGTATTTGACCTGATCTAACTACTTTGAAAAATATTTTTCTCTTTTATGAGATGATATCATAAGAGTTTTAAAACGGTAAGACTATATTATTACTATATGGTCTTAATTAGTTGACTATTTTGCCAAATATGTAAATAGGTCTTTGCCTCAAGAGAAAATCTCTAAGAAATATCATTTACTATCACTTTGAAAGAAGAGAAGTGTTTACAAATAATGAGTCAGATAAAGGGCACGTAACCGCAATCTACTATTTAATACAAAACATCAAAAGGGGATTTTTAAATGCTTATACAGGGAAGTCTTCTGTGTGGTTTGATCATTTTTAAGAAAAGTCAGGAAAAAGTCTGCTATTTTCACATACAAGGATTTATATACCATAAACTATCATTTAACATTTTGTTAATTCATAAATTATATTTTGTCAGTAAAATTAGAAATTCAAACTTTCAGATTTTTCAAAATTAGATCACACTTATGATTTTGAAAATGACAAAAATAATAAATATATAATGAATAATTTATTAATAATGAACAAAACTAGGTTATTCCCAAAATTGTAAGTCATAAGATGAATTTACTAGTAAACATTTAATACATTCTTGTGAGCTATTCTTATTTTTCTGAAGTTATACTATCATACTTTTATGTATTTCATTTCTGAGGGAGACCATTGTACTCAGGTAATCCGTTTTTTTTTGTTTTATAGAACATTGTTTTTTCAGAAATATTGCTTCATCGTTACTTTAATGATGTTTTTAAATAGTGTCTTAAGAATAAGGCTTTTCGATGCAGTGGAAATTGTTTCACTTGGCAGGTTAGGTTGCAGCTGTGTTATCTATGTCACCATGATGTATATAAACAAGAATATTACAGGTGTTTTCTGTGCAGGCTTTTTAAAGGAAGTACCTGCTACTTCACAAATGCTAGAGAAATGTGGGTCTGAAATATTTTAACTCTTTCTTAATTGAAAGCTGTCAAGGAGTTACTTTCATTTTTTGCATTTCTTTGCATAACTGTTAAGACCACTCCTTTTTGTGTTATGAATAATGTCAGTTCCATGATAAGCTAACTTGTTTTATTTAATAAGGCTGGTTTACTTTAATTTAATTACACTTTCATTGCCATTGTTTTCCTTCCTTGATAAAAAAACTATTCTGTTTTGTAAACTTTGAAAATCAAGCATAAAAATCTTTACCACTCCCGCTCACCTACCATGTGTCATCGTTTGCATTGTAAGCAAATCTTTCTCATACAGCTTTTGCATCAGTAACCCAGGAAATTACGCTTTTGTTTCTGATTTGCCTTTCCTATTACAGGTCAACAAAAATCTCTCTTTTACTTCAGCATCAGCCTCCTCACAACAGTCTAAGTTAAAACAGTCAGACTTGCTGGACACTCAGCCTCTGCGTCAGTTTGGTTTCGCTCAGACTGGTGAGCCCCTTTCTTATGACTATTCTTTTAAATGTTTACCTGCTATTTTCTTCGTGAGGATTGTTTCATTTTAGAAATATAGCTCATAGCATTGTAATGGTCTGTTTTCATACTTGAATTATATTCTAGCATCTTTTTTCTTCTTCAAAATTCACAAGTAATTTCAAAAGCAAATTTGAACTTGGTAACTTTAATAGTAAATACTCTCAACCTCTATTCCATTGAACAGGTAACAAACTAAAAACAGCAAAACATGTGAGTTTTAAACATGTATACAATTAAATCTGATTCTGTTTCCCTTAGGTAAAAGACCATAATTGATTTTATATGTTATAAACTACTTCAAGGAATTCAAGGTAAAATGTGTTTTGGCAGAAACAGGCTCCAACCTGTCAGTGATATCATGTTCTTCAAAGTTGGCAAAGTAATAAGATATGCAAAGAAGCTAGTTGTAAAAATCTACATGAATCACTGAGTTGAAATGAACTATACAATGCAAATTTTTAGGCTAATGTTTTAAAATAATTTGAATAAGGTTTTCAAAGGACATCAAAGAGAAAGCATTTATGTGAGAATGTGACTTTGGGGATGGAAAGATGGCTATTTCTATTCACTAGCTGTATGTTTTTGACAATATTTTGTATATTATTGAATTGTTTTAAAAATTGAGGCAACTGAGAATATCTAATTATCTTCAACAAAAAGATCATAAGAAACTTTAGCTTGAAAAGACTGATAGAATTTACTTAGAAATTTGGGGACAATATTACTTTTCTAGTTTGAAAGTGTTTGCAGTTTACATATACAAGTTATTTTAATATTGCTTTATAAGTTACATATTATAGTGGGAAAATATTTGGATCAAGATTTTTATGTTCACTCCTGGTTGTGCCTTTTTTTTTTATATAACTTATTACCTGTGAACTTAAGAATATTCACTTTGCTGAAACCGGTTTGGCTCAGTGGATAGAGCGTCGGTCTGCAGACTGAAAGGTCCCAGGTTCAATTCCGGTCAAGGGCATGTACATTGGTTGCGGGCACATCCCCAGTAGGGGGTGTGCAAGAGGCAGCTGGTTAATGTTTCTCTCTCATCGACGTTTCTAGCTCTCTATCCCTCTCTCCTTATCTCTGTAAAAAATCAATAAAATATATTTTAAAAAATAATATTCATTTGGAAAGTAGAAATGATATTTACATTATATTCTGTTGAAATTCAAATTATATATCACATATGAAACACTTGAAAGCATAAGGCACTATACAATTATAACATACTTAAACTGTAAACATGAGTATATATAAGCTAGCTTTGAAAATACATTGTTCTCTAATTTCAAATGAATATAATGATTAAGTTATCCCAAACATCAGCTATCTTAAATTTCTAATGTTCCAGATATCTGCTAGGATTTGGAGCAAAGTGCTATTGCTTCTTATGTACAGTAGGGGGCACACCATCTGTTCTTCCTATAGACTCCTTCTCTAACTAGATACTTGGTTTGTCTTCAGATCATGTCATTTTAATGACTAGGAGAGAGAGAATATGTTCTACTACTTGATCCCTATCACCTTTCTCCTGAATCTAAATTCTTCTGGGGACAAATTTTTCATTCCACACTTTAGGATTAAAGGCATGGAATGGAAATGTTTGGTTGAACTAATATATTAAAATTCATTCAAGTATTGTCTTAAGTTTGTCAGCCAACAAGATGTAGATGATAGATATAAAATTCTTTTCTGTAAAGGGAAAGAGAAGAGAGGATAGATAGAAGGCCTTTGAAATGGAAGAGGGTTTATCAGTGGGACAGATAAAGGGTAAAGAAAAAGAATAAAAGGAAAGCTGGGTATGATAAAGACAAGCCTTATAAGCTTTACCATAGTACATAGGATTGTCTCCACTTGCCTTCAGTTTTCTCTGGCCAAATAGGCCTTGCATTGGGGTATTTATATCATGCATAACCCTCCATGTGTCCTCTACCTCAGAAGCATTACCATTAAGCCATGTTATATACATGATGACAACACTTCACTTTATTTTGTTTTAGTTGTTCATATGCCTGATCTCATTTTAAGGCATATCCTTTCTATAAAACTTATTGATATATCACACAGAAAAATTATAAAAGCAGAATATGTAGTTTGTTGCAAAATTGCCAAGTTAATCAATTTTCTTCATGAAAAAGCCAATCTTTTCAGGGGGGGAATCTTGCACTAGGAAACAGATGAACTAGTTTCTACAACTGACTCCATTTCCCCTTCCACTCTTGTCACTTAGCTTATTCTCCCCATCGGAGCCAACACATTTCTTTGAGAGATGATTTAGATCATGTGACTACCCTGCTTAAATGGCTGTCACAATTAGAATGGGTCCCAGAGTCCTTCCCCTGTCTTGTAAAACCATCCATGGCCTTGCCTTCGTCTTCATCGTAGGCCTCATCAGCAAGTGGGGTTTCAGGAGAGCCCACAGAGCCAAGAAGTGGATAACCAAGCATGCACGCCTGGAAGAGAGCTTGGCATAGCTGGGGAATGGTTTGAGTCTTAAGTTTAGCTGAAGGAGATGGTGAGATAGATGTGTTAGGAAAAACTGAATCTGTAAAAGTAGGTTGAGTCAAGTTGTGCCCTTCTGAGGAATTCACATTATATTCTCTAAAAAAATAGACTCTCCAAAGGTATGAGTATGAAAAAGGTGATAAAATGTGTTTTTTAAAAAATATTGCTGCTGCCCTGGCCAGGTTGCTTGGTTGACTGGTGCGTTGTCCCATGCACCAAAAAGGTTGCGGGTTCAATTCCTGATTGGGGCACGTATGGGAGGCAGCCAATCGATGTGTCTCTCTGACATCAATATTTCTCTCTCTAAAGTCAATTTAAAAATCGTATCCTTGGGTGAGGATTTTAAAAATATATACTACAATAGTATACAACTGGTGGGGTAGAGAGAAAAAAATCTGGATACAACTCTTAAGAGATACTTTAGGAACTTTTCATTAGGCTGTCACTATCTTAATTAGAAAATAATACATCTGTTAATCCTATTAAAAACAAAAATACATCTATCATGAGTAATTTGTATAAGAAAGGAAATCGTATAATTTTATTTTCTAAATATCCTATATAATAAAAGGCTAATATGTAAATCGACTGAATGGTGAACAACTGATCACTATGATATGCACTGACCATCAGGGGCAGACGCTAAACCCAGAAGCTCAGCCAGAAGCCAGGCTCATAGCTGACAAGTGCAGGGGTGGTGGCAGAAGCCTCTCCCGTCTCCACAGCAATGCTGAGAACTGCCAGCTTAGGATGTCTGACTGCTGGGGAGGTCGGGGAGTGGGCTTAAGCTGATAGTTTGACATCCCCTGAGGGACCCGGACTGCGAGAAGGTGCAGGCTGGGCTGAGGGTGGACCCTCCCCCCCTCCCCCACAAGTGCACAAATTTTATGCACCGGACCTCTAGTACTTTAATAAAGCTAGGGGAAAAGAAAAGAAAATTGTAATTTTAACATTTTACGTAATTTATAGCTTATATAATGTGTCAGCATGTAGTGAACATGCTATACTATATCTTCAATGAATTCAGCAAGTTCTGTGCAGAGGAATATTGTTCTGTGATGGCTGATCAAAATCTCAGAACCCATTCAATCATCTCAGGAGTTCTTATAATAGGAGTAAATGTTTAAATGTGAGTTATTCAGTAAAAAATACAATTAATCAATAGAGGGAGGGGCAGGATGTAGTTAGCCACTGGGGGGTAATTGTATCATCTTTGCGTGTTTATCTTTGAAGGACAGCGTGTCTCATTTTTAAAAATGTGGTATATCTTTTCACAGCATTGTGTGAAATTCAGTTCATTTTCAATAGATGAGTGATACAAAATGAAATGAATCATTTTATTAGTATGACTTTATTAGCATAATCTTCATATTACCTTTTTTAGTTGTAGACTTGGAGTTTGATGGGGGAGGCAGAGTGTAACATGGCTTTCAAAAACAACCAGTAGCTTCTGTCTTCATATATTTGTACTCTCCATTAGATCATATAAACAAGTATTAAACTTGATTACCAGTCATTAAATCTAACTTTTTACCACATCCTAAATGGTCTAGATTAGGGGGTGTCGAACTCAATCAGAGAAGGGGCCAAAATCTAAAATCTAGCCTAAATCGCGGGCCGAATGGTTTACTGAACAGTCATAAACTGTCATTGTGATGGAAACGCAGCAGAGTGCAGTGATGACAGCACGGTGCGGGCCACATTGCAAGGCCTGGCGAGATGGATTTGGCCCGAGGGCCTTGTGTTTGACACATGTGGTCTAGATACTTGATTTAGACAACATCATAACATCATTCTAATGACTTCAGTATTGGTTATTAGATCTGTCCAGTTAACTTTCATGCTTTTACATTTTGAATATTATTTAAAGAGCTGTATTTTTGCATTTACTTTGCACATCTTTGCCAAGTGTGTGTGTGTGTGTGTGTGTGTGTGTGTATTCCTTTAACCAGGAATAAAAAAATTAACTCTTAAAATTAGGAGGTATTTTTCTAGTTAAATTTTATTGGTTTCAACATTTCAGTATTACTTAAGATTTAATTTTTATAGGGAAGTACAAAACTTTTCAAATAAATTTACTGAAATGTAAAATGAATTCTGCCTTGGTCATAATTTCACCAAAGATTCTGCGATTATAACCAGTTGTAGAAGGTAGATTGCAAGTAAGCTGGAAACAAGATGATTCTTATATTTCAAAAGAAGAAAAGAAAACATTTTGGCAAAAATTAGGAATCAGAATGACTCTCAATAAAGACAGTTGATGTTAAAAGGGGGTTTCCATTTTAAGGAAGCTAAAATGAACTTCAAAGATCTTTCTCATCGCATCAGAATTGGCAGAGTGTTCTGTTAGTATTACATAATGAACTTTAAACTGTTATTTGAAAAAGAATGTTTTATTGAATGCTGATTTCAAACCTCCAGAAATCCAAGATGTAAGTGTAGATTTTGGA